TAGTCAGCTAGAAAAATGAACTCTAGAGAGGAGCATTTTACAAATTATGTGCACCATGACATATTCATTATAATTTTTACTGTTCTTCAATATTTATTGAATAAATTTGTCAAGTTTTTATTAGAGCCCGACCGATATGGGTTTTTTGGGGCCGATACCTTGCGCTGATCACTCAAATGTGGTGATCAAACACTTATAATGACGTGACAGAGATACGTAATGGAGGCAGGACATTTAACAATTTAACAAACTTAATTATCCAAAATGAGTCTGACATCAGTGCACTGAAGAGTAAACTTTAAAGTTTATTCAACTTGAATTCAATTAAATTCCATTCAACTTTTTTCTAAGTTTATTTCACTTCGAAGCATTCATTCACGGATTTGCGCTACTGTCTTCACACACAGGCGAAACTTACTAGCGAAAGTAAGTCTCTTGCTGCTGCCTGAACAAGAGACCTCCTTACTGAATTGAAAGTGTTGTCTGGTGTCACTGTCTCGCGAACGCGCCGGCGGATCTCCACCAAATTCGGGGGAGCCCTTCAGCTCGAGGAGCCCTCTCGAACACCCACCCTCCACACGTGGGTAGCCCCCCGAGATCGTTAGATCGGTCGGCACCGGACTGTGAATTTAACCACCTGTAACTCCCGTACCTATCGGGCTATCGACGTGGGGGTGGTCTCATTCGAAAGCGGGCCTCTAGACGTACACTCGATTCGCATTCGAGAGGGTTCCTAGAGCTGAAGGGATCCCCCGAATTTGGTGCGGATTCGCCGTGCCGTTACGGAGATATGGCCGTTCAACGTTTCAATGGTTTTCCATAGACTTAAGCTTTAAAGCGTTCATCCAGGTCGCCAGTAGCAAACAATGGAGCGTGCTCTGCTGGACAAACTAAGTAATTACACCATTTCAAGCATTTTATCTGCGTTATGTGTTCTGTAAAAAAAAAATTCATATCGGCGGCATATTCGCAGATACCGATATATCGGCGACAGGCTCATATCGGCCGATAATATCAGCAAAACGATATATCGGTTGGGCTCTAGTTTTTATGACAGCCAGCATTTTAAATGTTTATATTTCAAAAAACAAATTGGAGTAGAAATATAATTGTAATTGTAAAGTTAGTATTATAACCTGACTCCCGTGTATATTTTACAGCGTTTGAGAGATTTTTTTTTTCTTTCTTTGAGAAAATTTGCCATGTACTGTACCTGATATAGATCCAAAATATTATCATTCATGTTAGTTCATAGTGCATTAACAATCTTACAATAGTTTCACAGGACTTACTAACCTTAGTGTGTTACACTTAGTGTGGAATTTTATTGTAAAGTGTTACGGTTTCATATTTAAACCATCATGCTTATAGATATTGTAAAGTGTTACGGTTTCATATTTAAACCATCATGCTTATAGATGGCCATCTTTAAATATATACCTAAATACTAGTGGATTAAACTTAGATATATACCATATGTATATTCATTAGGGTTGCTCCGATTGATCGGCTACCGATCACTATCGGCCGATAATCAATTTTGGGATGATTCATCTCTAAAACGGCCGATCTCAAAAAAACGATTACAAGCTGCCTGCCGTGAGAAGGTTTGGTACGACATGCAGCGGCACCGTCTCAGTCTCTGTCCGGCACGGGTGAAATAATTATAATGCTGAAGGTGAGGTACTCCTTCATATTTTTTTATTAAATAACTTATAAAGTAAGTTGAAAACCTTGTGTGAGACGTAATTTCACATACAGCATAAGTGAATCACTGTGCGCGCTCTCTCTCAAAATACGCAAATGTCTTCAAATCACCATATCGCGTCTGACTATAAGCGAGCTGCACGCTGCACAGTTGACACAGGAATTGTCACTTGCACAATCGAGGCAGTGTCACTAAAGTTTATAAATTGCATTACTTTTTAATTCTTGCCAGTGTTTAACCATTCAGCGCTCGGGCGCTCTCCTGGAGACTGAGCTCATGCACACTCATCACACACATAATGCCAGGTTCACATTACTCCGTTTGCAGTGCATATGCGGTGTGTATTTTTTCCGTGCTCATGTTAATGGATTAATAAAGCGTTCACCCTGCACATGGTTGCTGTCCGGCAGTGCACTCCAGTAGCGGTGCGTCTGCAGCAGTGCAGAGATCGTTTCCGCACTGAGTCTATGTTTGCTGAGCTGCAAGCGCTGAATTAAAGTAACAGTGCATTGTTTGCAGTAAATATGAACATGGATTGACACGAAAATGTAGCAATTACACCATAAATGCATATTATTCGTGGAGGTAGGAAAACAAAGTTCTTTATGAACTGCAGGATTGCTTGTAATAAAGATTTCAATGCAAAAGGAAAGGCAGTAGAGCTGACTATTTCTGTCAATGGTAAGTTTGTGATGACGTTAGTAGTTTAAATCTTTTGCCACTAGTCAGCAAATTAATTACTCTGTAATGATATGAAAACATGTACTATAGTGTACTGAATGTACGGTTTGTTGTTTGTTTTAAATCCGCATCTGAAGTGTCCTGCTCCATGCAGCACATAGCAAACAGCATGAGGCATCAGTGAAAATCGATTAAAATATGTGACGATTCAAATCGGTTGAGATGCTAAACAAATCACGATTCAATTAGGTTTGAATTAGAGTTTATATGAATGTATGTCTGAGGGGAACTTACTGACTTTAGAAAAGTTTAGATGGTAATTTTTCTTTTCATCTTGCCTCTGTATAATGCATATTAAAAGTTCATAAGTGCAGCGCTGCTTTGTTTACAGCGGAAACCAAGGAAACACTTTAAGCGCCAC